AACCAGCATTTAATATAGTAGACAAGTATTCATTTATTTTTTAAATGAATTTCCATCAAGTTAATAGACGGTTTACGCCCGTATGCACCATACACGTTTAATCCAGATCTGGATTAAACGTGTACGGTGCATACGGGTGTTAAACACGTCCAATACGGTTTGTCTCAAAAACGTACAAAACTGGATGTCTTAAAGACGTACAAAATTGGATGTCCTAAAGATGCCTTGTTTTGTAACAATGTAGGTCCTATAGACGCCTTTAAAACATCTTTTGGATGTTAGCGTACATCTTCAAAACGTCGTGAACAAATGTCTTCAATATGTCTTTAGAACGTATCTGTGCTATCTGGGTAGTGTCATTCTTTATTAACTAAAAATAAATCTTTTTGTAATACATGTAGGTCATGTTTTATTTTGCGGAATTAAAAAAAAAAACATTCCTTTTATTATGTAAACGATTTCATTCAGTTTATTTCAATATACGTTTTCCTTGTGTCTTATTGTTACTTATTTATTTTAAATTTTACGCTTTGAACTTGCTTTATACCTAAAAAGATCAATAAAGTACTATAATAACATAAATACAAGTTCATTTTTTTATTTCCAGCATGTTACGCCTTGGGTCGAATATCGTTGGTGTCAGAATGGAACAAAATTTTCAGCGGCGTTATGAGTCCTCTCTTTATTACCTAGTCTAAGGGAATGCGCATATGGTTTTACTCCTTTTACTTTCAGAGTTCAATGTCAGTGGTCAATGTGACATACTAATACAATACTTAAAACCTAATCGTACTTATCAGTAACAACCGTATACGTTTCTTCCATATTAATGGTATGCTCGGGAACCAAATAAAAAGCAATTTTACTTAAGAATTATTCACAATTATCTTATTATCGATTTAAATCACTTTATGCGCATGCCCAATCAACACTCCACTATACGATTTCCGAACTGTCAAAAAGGAACTTTTATTTTAACACCTTCCATTCCCGAATGCCTTAGGTACTTTAGGAGTGAATATAGTGAAAAGAGTGCGTAGCCTGAACTCACCTTAACAAGAAATAATATTTTTGAGTTAAAACTTTATTATTGTCATATTCTCATTAATGATATTGTTACACAACTGATAACAACGTATAACGTCTATTATAAAACTGAAAACTGATTTCAGGATCCTCGACTTATATAGCTCGAACCTTCTAGAAAGGTCTAGATTTTTCTTGAAAAGTAATGACATTTCTGGACTATTCTATCTTATTTTACTCGTAATTTTCCTATAACAGCTGCAGGGTGCTGCGTAACATTGCTCCCCTCCTCTCTATTCACCCCGAATAACTTGATTACCGGGACCTAGTTGGAGCCAACGGGGAAGATCTGGACCACGATATGGCGCTAACTTTTCAATGTGAACTACCTTGGGTTTACTTCCTGCTGACAACTGAATGCGGTAGATCAGGTCGTTAATTTTCTTGAGGACGGTGTAGGGGCCTTCCCAGTTCCGTTGCAGTTTCTGACAAAGTCCTTTTCAGCGCTTGGGATTGTACAGCCATACTGAATCGCCTCTCTCAAAATGTGTCCCTGTGGCATGCATGTCGATTCTACCTTTTGCTCTATCGCTATTAACTTTCAAACGTTGACGAGCGAATTCGTACACTTTCTCTAATCGTCCTTTTAAGTTCTGTATGTACGGCCCTCTTCTTCACCAGGAGGCTGCCTTCCAAAAAGAGGATCATGGGGAAGTTTCATCTCCTTTCCAGTAATCATCATGGATGGAGTATAACTGGTCGTTTCATGTTCAGAACTTCGGTAGGCAAGCAGAAATAGAAGAATTAAAGTGTCCCAGTCCTTTTGATTATCAGAGACGAACATTGAAAGATACTGGCATATCGTTCTATTTTGTCTTTCTACTATTCCGCGTCGGACTGTGGGTGTTTTCCGAATGCCTAACCATTTCATTAATTCTTGTCATAATTCAGATTCAAAACTTAGTCCTTGGTCAGAATGTAATTCCAAGGGGACTCCGTGTCTCGCAATGACGTTCGTCATAAATGCTTCCGCTACTGTCGTCGCTTCCTGATTCGGAATAGCCATATTTCGGGCCACTTTGAAAAATAGTCCATAACAACCATCGAGTATTTGTTTCCCCTTTCTGTTAAGGGAAGAGGTCCAAGGATATCTATGGCGATTCGTTCGAAATGCTCTCCGGAAAGGTACTGTGCCATTTTACCTCCACTTCTTGTTTTGGGCCCTTTTCTACCATTACAAAGGTTACATTCCTTACACCAATCTTCTACATCCCGTTGGCAATTGACCCAATAAAATCTTTCCCGAACTAGTGCAAGTGTCCTTTTTGTACCAAAATGTCCTCCTGAACGGCTGCTATGAAGCTCCTCCAATACATTTGTGACCTGTGATTTCGGCAGTATCACTTGGCGGACTACATGTACTCCATCGGGGCTCTCCTACTTCCGGTGCAATAGGCCATCGTGAAGATACAGGGAATCCCACTGAGTCCAGTACCCTTTAATGGTTCCACTATATTTGGCTATCTCTTGCCATGTAGGTCTGACTCCATTTTTGAGCCATTCTCGGACAACATTCAAGTCATTGTCTTTCTTTTGCTTTCAAGGGTGATTCCGTCTTCGTCATCCTCTGGCTTGATAATGGTCGCCTGAAGACTAACTTCTTCAACCAGCTCCTTCGTTCTTCAAGCTTTTTACAGTACCGGCATTGTCGTTCTAAACAGGGTTGCCTGGAAAGAATGTCTGCTTTGCTATGGATACGTCCCCTTGGATGCACTATCTCAAAGTTATATTGTTTCAGTATTTCTATCCATCTAGCAACTTGTCCCTCAGGTTTTTTAAAATTCGTCAGCCACTGCAAGGAGTTATGGCCACTTCTAATGATAAAACTTCTGTTAAAAAGTGTGGAAGCGTTCAAGGGCTTTGACAATAGCTAATAGTTCTTTCCTGGTGTCGCAATAATTCTTTTCAGCTTTTCCCAAGGTCTTACTAAAGTACGCAATTACTTTCTCTTAACAGCTGCAGGCTACTGCAGGGTGCTGCGTAACAATATTTTGTAAATAAATTTACATCAAAAATAATAAAACTCATATATCTTATTTTTAAAACAAAAAATATTCTGTTTAACTTAGGGCCGATTCCACCGTTGGGTTAAACGGAGATTAAAATGACATTATTAATGTAAAAATGTCACTTTAAACTCCGTTTAACACAACGGTGGAACCGGTCCTTAATCGACTATCGGTCTATCTATTAGGCATTCCAACGACCTGTCAAAACGCTGACAAGTGGGAACTGACAGTTTAGATATGGCAACCCTGTGGGCCTGTTGTCATTGACAGGGTCAATGATACATATGTAGATATATTGATTGCTCAAAGCAGATCGTTTGCGAGTGGCAATATTGCCTCGCAAGTGCTCATTAATCAGAAACGGTTTAGAAAAACTGTGTTTACAAACCAATTTTAAGGCTTTGAATATAGTAAAAAAAATAATTACCTACATTTTTACTTCAAGGCATAGGTTTATGTCTATTTTTGAAAAATATGGATGATCAATCTATATAACTATCTATTCCATTGACCCTGTCAAATCACCAGACCTACAGGATTTCCATATCATAAGCTGTCAAAACCCACTGGTAGCCATTTTCTTTGGAATGCCTAATTAGTAAATAGAGAAATTACATTCGCTTTTAAGTTTCGACAACAGTTCGATGGTTCGGTAGAAAACGACAAAATGATCAAAAACGTGACTTAAACACCACGGAGGTTGCTGCCATCTATTGATACTGTCCATTGTCCTCCAAGATAATTTGCATTGGTATTGTTCTATTAGTTGATCTAAATACAATGGAAAGCACTAAAATAAAATCACAGAGGCTCAATCAATTAATACTAGTTGACAAGTAAAAAGTGTAACAGAATAGCTGTCTACGTTTCGCCTATGGAATTCGAAAATTTGATCATATCTCGAATAAAATGAAAGAATCAGGTTGGTTGACTTTCAATAACTATCGCCTTTTGCATTTATTAACTCAAGTTCACAAAGTTTTACTCATACAGAAACCTGATTATTTAGTTAACAAATTAAAGACATTTTCCAATATTAATGAATTTCCAACGCGGAATCGAATGACCTTGGTGGTACCGAATCATAACACGGCTCTATTTAAAAGATGTTTTTCGTATGTTGCATGTAAAGAGTACAATAAACTTACAAATGAATTTAAATCATATAACTTGCTTAATTTCAAGAAACGCCTAAAAAATTCTTTGTTCAATAAGCAATGGTCATAAAAAAATATATTATATAATGCAACGAATTTGGTTTTGAAAATCTGTTTATTTTTTATACTTTTTTTTTCTCTATTATATTATATTATTATATTTCAATGTTATTTACAGGTTAAGTTGTAAATCAGCACAAGCTGAACTTCACCTTTTCATCTACCTTATATATGTATATATTTACACTTATACTAAAACTTGATGAATAAAGACGCTTTATTATTATTATTATTATTATTATTAGAATGGCATCCTTTTAAATTCCTTTAAATTGGAGTGTAGCTCTTTCTCTTTCAATTTTAGTTTCCTGCTCTGACTGCATTTTCTTGTTATTTCTACTCTTTGGTTATAGTTTAAAAAACTATAATGTGTTTACCCAGATTTAATCCTTATTGGTATCTTCCTAATGGCAAACTTAAAAATTAAACATTCATAATTCGCAAAACATAAAAACTGACATGGCAATTACACATGGTTACACAAAATTAGTGATTTTTAGCAACAAAATTAAAAATTAGTAATGCAACATAGTACTTACCCAGATTAGAATCTACTGAGATCATTTAAGATTTAAGAGAAAAACGGTATAAACAGGAAAGTATATTTAAAATAAAAATGTACAGATAGATAAGCTACAATATACATATTTATATAAAATTAGCAAAAAAAGCTCTAATACGTCAACTATTAGGTTAAAAAACAATAATAATAATATTAAAAAAAGATAAATGCTAAAATGACATAATACCATCTTTATTTAAATTTAATTCATCTGTTAAATACAATCTCTTTGGCAATGTGTTTTATAGAAGACTAGACGAAAATTCTAGAATCGGTTTGGAAATTTAAAGAATTTTCACGTTGACATGAAAGTATACAGGTGGATACTGCATTTATCAAACTAGTCCATAAATCATTTGTGTGCAAATCATGTGTCGATTACTTATTTCTTTATATACATATTTATAAGCAACTGCAGTAAATATTTTAAACTGAATTTCTGCTAAAAATAGTGATATAAAACTGCGAAAAACGAAATCTTTCAAATTATGAACAATCCCTATTACGTAAAAAATATGGTGTTTAGAACACGATTAACAACGCTGGAAGAATTAAAAGACTTTAGTAAGGAGTAAGATGCTGCAATTCAACCAGAAATGCTGAATAGTGCAGTGTACAATTTGGAGGAACGGGGTAGGTGATTGTACAGCAGCAAAATGGATGCTATAACGAACATTTGCTTTAACCATAAGAAATTACATTATTAGAAGTGGCCAAAATAATCGATCAATCGATTATTCGATATATTTTTTAGACAAATAGATTTTATTTCAATCTAATAAAAATTATGTTGTCGGTAACAATTTTCTTTGAAAATTGTGTTAAATTTGTTTTTATTTTTTTAGGAGCAATTTATAAATGAAACACCAAATTACATTAGAATCCTTTTTAAATAACAAAATTATAGTGTATGTTAAAACAGTATATTTTAATAACCTAATTGATTAAGTGAAAATAATCATTTTTTCAAAATACATAATAAATTGAACTATATCCCTTATTTTATAATAACCTTGTATATGTATTATGAGCAATATTTAACTTTTTCATAATTGTTGTTAGATATTCAGAGAATAACTTTTTGTATATTTATAACTGCAATCATTTTAAAAGTTTGTGATGAATTATGAGTTAGTAAAATGTAAACTTGTTCACAATGTTGTGAACTATTTTAAAATAGACCTAAATATTAATAATAAAAAATATATATACAGGGTATCAATATTCCACTGACAACACTATACCCCCAGGGAGCTCTCGGTAATTGATTAATGTTGATATAGGAACATGATATACGAAAGTTTGAAATCAAAAATCAAAATTTGCCGTAAATCAAATTTGGTGACCAATGCACTCTTTAAGAAAGTAATAATTTGACATAAACTAAGTTTTGAAAAAATTAACCAGTGGTGCGCTGTCAGGGTTACTGGCAACTTGTATTCCCTATTTTTTACGCCACTGGACAAATATTTATTTTTTTAATTCTCTGTTCATTTTTAGTTAAAAAAGTAAGAACCTTATGGAAGTAAAGTGAATGTGGTAGAAATTAGCTTCTAAACAAAAGATAATAATATGCCTTGGTAGGATTCCCCACTCGACCATTCACTGTTGGGTACTAATTAACAGTGCTGTTCCTAAAGTGGCGTTGGGAAACAGTAACAAAGCCTACACAGAACACGAGGCTAATAACCATAGCAGTTGATGCCGATGACACAAAAAAAATAGGCACATGTCAAATTTTTAATAGTTCGTGTTTTTGACAAGATCTTGGTAGATCAAATTTGAAAAATAAATATTCAAAGACGTTTTTGATTTATGGCAAATTTTGAATTTTGATTTAAAACTTTTAACACTCTAACTAAGCCCATTAAGAGTAGAGCGTTATCGGTCGAATATAGTGACACCCTGTACATATTGATTTATTTTATGATAGGTAGCTAATCTTTAAACATTTAAAAATTTGTTCTTAATTGTGAGCATTCATAATTTTGAGGATTATTTTTAAATTGTTATAACTCTAATTTGTTAACATTTTTGTTTGCAGATAATTTAGTTCTAAATAAAAAATTTTTTGAGTGTAAATTATCCATTGCACAAATGTAATACAATCCCAAACAGAGGGAGGCAAACTCAAAGTCTTTACCACAGTAGAAAAAATTATACGTATTGTGAAGGGGAATTAGTTTCGGCCAAAGGCCATCACCAGACCTAGAAAAAAAAACAGTTATAATGGAGACAAACCAACGAATAATACAAAATACACATCTTAAAAGGATGAAATCAACAAAATAAGAAGTAGGTATGCTGAATTTTAGCCTAATCTTTAAAATTGTACCTTAAGTAATTTATTCTGTTGATTTGCATCCTTTTAAATGTGTATTTTTGTATTATTCGTTGGCTTATCCCCATATAATGGTTTGTTTTGTTTTTGTTCTAGGCCTTGAGTTTCCCTCTCTCCTTCATTAATTTTTTGGTTTTCCAATTATTTTCAAAATTTCGAATTTGCAAAGAATTTTGTACTCTATAAATAATTTTCTAAATGTAAACTATTCACTATACACCTTCACATGCTGTAACAGAAAGATTATTTATTTAAAAAAATGTTTTTAATCCGTTTGTAATCGTCCCCAAGTTTTATTAAATTTTGACTGCACCCGAAGATGGAAAAAATGTTTCCGAAACATATGTAGTGCTGTGCTAAAATAAAAACTCAATTTTCGAAAATTTTTATCTATTTTGTCAATATTAGACTTATTCACCATATTCATAGTTTGTTTTCAGTACTAACCCATTATTTAACTTTGTTTTTAAATTTAATTTTTGTTGCACACAAACAATGTTTGGAAAAATTTAGGAATGCAACCCAAATTTTTAACAATAATTATTATTTATTAAAAAGGCACTAAAATAAAACTATTACAGTTTGTTTCTCATTTTCTGATCCCTTCTATCTTTTAATTCATCTTTGTTATAATAACGTTTCGATATTACATGTTCGACTGTCTTCATACGAATTTACAATATTTACACTAGAGATCCACCGCCAAAAATGTTATAAAAAAAAACATCAGAATATTAACGTTTCTTTATAGAAATTCAACATTTACAAAAAAAATATTATACTTAACCTATTTTTGCATTCGTAATGCCCTTATTTGCTTTATGATTCCAATATTATTTCGTGTTGTTAATATACAATATACAAGTTGATAAATAATCTCAAAACAAAAAGTTATAAATCGAAATAGTTTTCCGAACGATTCAAGATGCAATATTTCCCCCCAACTGCATATTTTCAAATCATCAAACGCAAAATTTTAAAAAATTCGTCTAGCCCGTTAGTTTTTTATTTAAACGAAATTAAATAAAAAAAATTCATCTTGCTCAATACACATCTGATAGATAATGAAAGTATTTCTTTTTTTTTAATTCCCAATTGCACGACGGTTGTTTTTTTTTGACCCGCCTGTCTCGAAGTCTAACACGAGGGAAGGGGGGTGTGTGTTATTTTCTCTCCAGCCAATTCTCTGCCTAATTCCTTTCTTATTCGCCGTCTTTCCTACACACATGCAATTAACATAAAATTAGTCAAAAACGTAAAAATTAATCAATTTGCTTAGCTGTAGGGACATGCACAAAATCCACACAGACGTTTATAAAAAACACTACTGCCTTAAATTGTAAAAGGCCATTGAACATACAGTTAACCGCCATCCATAGTTACAGATTACTATGTCTCAATCTACATTTGAAACCGATTACGTCACCGGTGTTGGCGTGATGACATAATCGTCGAATTTTTTAAACGGAAATAGCTATCACATGACACCTCATTTGAAAGGTATTATGATACTCTTTTCATCGATATAAATTTTTATTTAATTTAACTCATTTCGTATCTAATTTTGTCTTTCAGATCCTGTATATTTTGTGATCGTTTGATTTTTTTATAACCTCACAGGAAAAAATCGAGGGATGTAAGATCTGGGGACCTTGCAAACCACTCTATGGATCCTCGTCTTCCAATCAACTGAACAGGAAATTAGTTGTTTAAAAACTGGCGAACATCAGGTGTAGAGTGCGAAGGTGCTGTTTTGTACATTTCCATCTTCACTTTCTGAGTCATCCAGTGAAGATTTTCTTGACATCATGCAATGTTGATGATTCACTGTACAATTTAGGCAAAACGTGGTTTCATTGGAAAAAAGAATTTGCTGAATGAAACGAGGATTGCGGTAACACAAATCTTGGTTAATTTAACTGCATTCGACGATCGGGATCATCTTCTTAAAGTTCCTAGTGTAGTTATTATTAAATGAAAAGACAAATGTGTTCTCCTTATTCATGTAAAATTTACAGTATTTTATCACATAAATTTTACTAAAAGGGAGTTACGCATTTTTCTTACTAAGGCGACGATGTGTTATAATTGTCAAGATTTCGGACATAAGCAATCAAGTTGCCCTAAACCTACGATCTGCAAGAAGCTAGGACATACGGCCGAAAAAAGCATCTGATTACTACGTTAACTGCTAAATAAACGGTTAAGGACTTTCTGGTTTCATTGATTCAGGATGCGAAATAGTAGCTATAAGAGAACGCGATGCTCTAAAAGCTGGATTAAAATGGTCGATAGTGACACTTATCTAAACGATTACGGTGGTAGCGTTTCGAAGGTTCTGGGGAGTACCGATGTCCAATTGAAAGTCGATTTATTCAATTCTTCTGTCCAAGCTTACATCGTACCGGATCACATTCAAGAAACGCCCGTACTAGTTGGAAGATCTCTTAAACCAGATGCTACAATGGTGGTGAAACACGGCGTCGCACGATTATTTACGTCTGAACTGATAGACCTTCCTTTAATTAGACGACCTACCGGCAAAGCTCACACTAAAGTCAAAACACAAAATTATTATTCGGCCAAATCACGTTGGTTACATAGGTTACAAGAGGTTAGATGGTGATGTGTTCGTTGATTTGCATCATTCATGGCAGCCAAACTGGGAATACGTTATCCCGAACTGTGTTTTTTCCACGAAAGAGACTAGTGTTCCAATTCTAAACATCTCCGACCAGCCAATTAAATACGACGCTGAGATACCGTTGTGCGAGGGGTACCATGCATTCCAGATGAAGGCCAAACACACAGGTTAGTGTTAACAAAGTTAGAGTAGTTGACTAACCACTACTACTTCAGATGTTAAGTCCCAAATATCTAGTGATATATCGGTTTCCGACGCTAATAAACTGTTGTTATTGTTAAACAAATATTCCGACTGTTTTGCTCAAAACATTTACGAACTAGGTAAAATATGACAATACGAGTAACTGACGGCAAGCCTGTGACATATAGACCCCTACCGTTTATCATATCTGAGCAGCAGGCATTCACCTTACGCTAGCCTGATCATTCTAGTCAAGAAGGAAAACGGTGAACCCAGGCGCGTAGACTATCATGCACTGAACGCCAAGACAATCAAGGATAGTTACCCGATGCCATGAGCAGACGATCATCTGAAGGGCTGTAAATATTTCACTTCGTTGGACATGGCAAGTGGGTACCATCAAATACCCATCGCAGAGGACTCTCGCCATAAAACAGCATTCGTAGCCCCTGTTGGCCAATATGACTATCGTACCAGCTGTCTTTCATAGAACGATGAACCAAATCCTGGGAAACATGCGTTTCAGCACAGCATTAGCATACATGGACGATATTTTGGTACCTTCCACAAGTATAAACACCGGTCTTTTTGTACTTGCAAATGTTCTAGAAGCGTTTAGAACAGCTGGCGTTACTTCAAGACTTAGTAAATGTCAGTTTTTCCAGACTAAACTCGACTAATTTGGTCACGAGATCAGTAACAAGCACAGGTCCAGGTACTGCGAAAATTAAGGCGGTTGAACAGTTTCCAGTTCCCAAGAATGTCTACAATGTCCTCCAATTCATTGGCTTATGTAGTTACTTCAGGAAGTACGTCAACGATTCTGATCACGTGGCAAGACCTTTGACATCCCTCACAAAGAAAGATGAAATATTTAGATGGGAAACCGAACAGATAGAAGCTTTCGAAAAACTGAAGGGACCTAGTAGAACGCCCAGTGTCTACAATCCAAGAGCCCCAACCAAACTGCATACTGACGCATCTAAGATTGGACTCACTGGAATTCTGCTCCAGATTCAAGAAGACGGACGTCTAAAGCCCGTTCAATACTTTAATCGGCAAAAGAAGAAGAAAGGTATCACTCCTATAAACTGGAGGCGCTAGCAGTCGTTAACTCGATGCAGAGGTTTCGAAATTATCTTCTAGGAATCGAATTCAAAATGGTTACGGACCGCAGCGCCCTCAGGACAGCTATGACCAAGCGTGATTTGATACCTCGGATTGCCAGATGGTGGTTGGTAACTCAAGAATTTAATTCTGCCGTGGAATATCGCCTTGGAACAAATCTAGTTCATGTATGTGCTTTAAGCAGAAACCCCGTTCAAGAATACCATGAACCAAAGCGTTTCGATATACTACAAGTAGATATCACTACAGATGATTGAGTCTTGGCAGTCCAGTTAAATGATGATCGTTGTAAATATGTTATAAATGTTATTTCCTGAAAACCAATTGATAATGAAAAGAAACAAATCCACAACGACTATTCGCTGAAAAAACACAGATTATACTGGTGGTATGTACCTAAAAGAGCAAGACGCGTAGTTACCATGTATTAGCATGACAACAATAGAAATTTTGGCGCAGAAAGAACTCTAAAATGTATCGGCGAGAACAACTGGTTCCCCAGGATAAAAAAGTACGTGACTCGTTACATAGCAACTTGTTTATCCTGCGCTTACAACAAAGCACCGTTAGGGAAACGAGGATTATTGAACACTATTGAAAAAATCTCAGCTCTAATGGACCTTTGTTAAAAGCACCAAAAGTATGACTTACCTGATAGTTGCCATAGATACGTTCACAAAGTTTGCTTGGGGAAAACCTGTAAGAAGTGCTCAAGCAAAACCTGTTATCAACTTCCTGGAGCAAGTTTTTAGTACTTTCGGCGTAGTAAGAAGGATAATTTCCGACAGAGGTTCTGCCTTCACAAGTGATCCCTTTAGAAATATTGCAAAGCGACAGTCATCCCACGAGCTAATGGTCAGGTGGAACGACTAAACAGAACTCTGTTGAGCGTCATATCAACTAGTTGCGTCGATGAAACCAAGTGGGATCAAATAATAGATGCGATTATCTTCCCCATAAATACGTTCATCAACAGCACTACAGAGAAAAACTCTTATCAGTTATTGTGCGTTTATCAACCTAGAGGGAATAATGTCGTAGGGGAAGGGAATGTAATCGATGACATTGGAAAAACTAGAAACGAGACTAGTCAAAAGATTAAAGAGGGACAAATTAATCAAAAGGCTTATTTTGATGCAAAAAGAAAGTCGTGGTTACGGCATAGGGGACCTAATTGTTGCCTAGAACTGAGGATAGCAACGACGACAAGAGTAAAAAGTTGATATCCAAGTATTCAGGACCCTATGTGGTAAATGACATTCTAGGCCATGATAGATATGTAGTTGTAGATCTACTAGGTTCTAACCGTACCACTATGGTTTCAATGAACCAATTTTTTGGCCAAAAGTCAAAACAAGATTTAAAAAAACAAATTATGATCTCAACTGTTTTTAATGGAGTATATTAACACTATAAAACTCATTTTGAGCCATTTAGAACAAGAATTAAAATAATAAATATCTTTTTTCTCAAAATATATTTGATAGTTTAAATAAAAAGTAAAATCACATTTCCATATCTAACTCAAGTGAGTCCAAATGATCAGGCATTATTTCTTCCAAAATTGTTTCTTCCCCTTCGTCTTTGTCATAATCATCTTCTAAATTTTCTTCATGTTCCAAAGTTTGTGGTTGTTGTTCCAAAAGCATTTCTGTAACTTCAGCTGGAAACTTAAACTTTTGTTGTTTATTTATTCGTTTTTGTAAATTTATACTTGAAATAATGGGATCTGAGGTGTCCATAGCTCGATGAAAAACATCTTCGAGATTATTTTGTCGGCTTGTTTTCCTAGCGTGAAATTGTCGATCATATTTGTAAAGTTTATTTCTTGCTTCAGATCCCTCTTCCCCGAAATATCCCACGGGCAATATGGTATTCTCCATTATCTGTCTCCCATGTACTAAAACTTTGTGAATGGTTGCAGGCATAGGATACCAGGAATATTTTTTCATGTATAGTCTGGCAGTTTCATGACAAAAAATTTCAAATTTTTCTGCATCTAGTTGGTACTGGCAAGACAAACAAATTAGGATGATTTTAAATTTTTTTATTAGAGTTTCATCAACATCTGTTATTTCCAAAAACAATTTGGTGTTGCTAAAGGCTCTACGAGCAGTATTGCCGTCATTTGTGCTACCAAATCCACTTGATTTTGGTTTATCTACATGTAGATGTAAAAGGGATAAGAATCGTTCTTGAATATTTTTTTTTCTGTTGGCAAATCTTTCTTTATTTTCGGTACCTCTAACTTGCCATTCACATA